TAAATTATTTTATTTCATGCAAATCAAAAAAGTAAAAGTCTAATTTGGTGAGAAGCCTGGTTTTATAAATTGTAGCTCAGTAATTCGCCTCCAACGGTTGATCCAGATGCTTCTAAACAACAAAGGGAGTCCCAAATTAAATTGCATCTTAGATGAGATTTATATTTTTATCTAGCATAATAAGTATACACAAATCAATCAAATACACCAAATCCACTATCTAGAGGAAAGAAGATCGTCGGATTTTTAACAATTACTCATGGTGAACTCTTCCAAGACATCCTAATTAATTTGGACCCCAGCAGCTCAAGTAAATTACTTTTCGGAAGGACTCCTCTGTTCTCTTAGCTTGATCTTGTTGGGTGCTTACTAGTCTGTTTCCAGCCAACATGGAAGAAGAAGAAGGCGTTCTTCTTGCCTGTGAAAAAGAACCCATCTCTTTTTTTGCTTTTTGATGCAGAGATCTCATAGTATAGTTCCATCTGCAAAGGCCGCCTTGATCCTTCAGCGTTTCCACCGCGCTGATGCTCGCTGCTGCAATCCAAGAAGCTCTGCTTGCTGAGGCCATGGCTAGTTCTCTCTTGAAATTTTGAAATGATGGGAAGAAGAAGAAGAAGAAGAAGAAGAAGAAGAAGAGGGTTGGTGTTCCTTGCCTGCTTCGTTTTTTTGGTAATTTGGTTGATGGAAAGAAGAGAATGTGTAGATATGATTTATAAAAGCCTGAGATTTGAGATGTAAGAGGAGAAAACAATGAGTGGGATAAAGTTATTGCTGGTTTTGAGAGTTGATGGTTGTTTCCATAATACCGGGGGTTATTGCTTTAAACCAACAGCCGGTGGTGGGGGGCCAATATATGATTGACACCCTCACCAAATTTTATCGGATATCATCACATTGCGTTCGAAATAAGATACCTGTAATCAATTATAAAACAAGCTGCTTTGAAATTAACTCTTGCATATATGATCCGACTAATTCAAGGAAAAAAAAATAACAATTTAAGTAGAAAATTTCTACATGCATCAGTAAACATTTTTCTTTCTATACACAACGAGTCTGAATTAATGCATGCCTCTTGATTGCTTCTAATTGCACTGCAAAACAATTCATCCTACAATTAACAGTTAACTATCGAATTGCTTACAAGAGTAGAAAACCGAAGGGTATTTTCATACAAATCACACATTTCTTATTTATTCATACATTTAATATCTAGCATTTCATATTAACTTACATAACAATATAACACTTAAAATCGTTATATTAAAAATATCTATAATATTAATTTTTTTATGCGAATTTTACTTTTTTAAGTATATATATCTTGATGGGATTGACACTGTAATGTATTACAAATATAAATATCAAAAGCTACGTATTAAATATATAAATACATAAAAGATTATGTGTTAATTATGTAATTCTTGGAAGGAAGCTTGAGCTTTCATGCAAGAGAGAGAGAGAGGGAGAGAGCTAACATGATTCTAAATTCCTTTATTCAATAGGGCTGATTACAAGAGGCTTACATATATATCAATATTATAGGCTATAGGGATTTACATTTGGTGAAATATTTTGCGGATCAACATAATCTAAAATAGAACCAATACATACTCAACAATATATATATATATAATGTCATTCAACAAATGGCTACTTGCCAATCATGTGGACAAATCTTCATCCAAACGACGATTCACGCTTTTTTTTAATAATGTAAAAAAACATTAGTCTTTAATTATTTAGAACATCAACTTTAAATACTTAACATTATATTAAAATTAAATTTTTTGGATATATTCATTTTAATTAATTAGTATTATATAAAATTGATAATCTTATGTTTATATTAAATTTAAATATGGAAATTATTTGTAACTTGATATTATAAAATTTCCTAATAATTTTATATTGATTTATGTTGAAATTTTTTATTAGGATAATTTTTCAATATACTTTTTTAAAGTGTAAAAGTTGATATGTATTGATAAAACATGGTGAGGGCCCTTATAAGTGTCTAGTATTGAATCAAATAAATAAAATTATTAAGAGATTGTATCATATTTATGTCATCTTCATGATGCACTATTGGCTTATAGCCTCATTGGATTTCTCTTGTCATGTCATGCACATGGTAATTGTGGGGGCCCATTTTCTTAATTATAGGAAGAATCATATCATAGTAGTAATTTTTGGATTTGAACAAAGCTCATCTTGGTTTGTTGGTTGAGAGCTTTAGCTACCAATTAAGAGCTCTTGGGTTTGATCCTTACACATGTGGAGTGTGTGTAAGTTTTTCTTAATTGGCCTAAATCCCCCCACCAACAAAAAAAAAAAGTTGGATTTCCAATATTATGCACCTGATTTATTTTAGGATATTAGTTGTAGTAATGGTATCCAATGTTAATTAAGATAGTCTAATAAAAGTTTTTTGTGATTAACCCATTTTTATTTATTAATTGATGAAACATTAAGATTAATGACACTGGATTCCTCCAGTTCTAAATTGCACATGATATAAGATGCAGCTCACATTCATAACATTCCACGTCATCCAGTCATATCGTTCAATATTGGTCTTAAAGTTGATCATCATAGATACTTCTTTTTCATTGAGAATGATGAATTCATCTCCTCTTTTGTACATCGGCTGACAGGGCAAACCACTTAAATTTGTTGGATATTATTACCTCTTTATTCTCTTTCTCTCTTTTCTCTTAATTTTCTTATAAGTTGGTCTTCTCCATTAGAGAAGAAACCAACTAGAAGTTCATCATTTTTTTTCTCTTTAAAGTGTAATTAAGAAACAAACCAAAGACCTAAACTAGATCGGTCCCCAAGACACTAGAAAGTTTGCAAGTTTTGATTGTACTACTTGCCTCCCATCGTCTAGCAAATCATGCAACCCATTCATGACATGATCATTGTACAAATTGATGCTTATTGCCACCTCGATTCTTAATGTAAAAGAAATGTGAATATTAGGGCATCACATGCATGTCTTTTATATCGTAGCCAATCTTCTACCTCTCCCCAATTTCTTTCTTTGAGTTACAATCTTGTCACCGAGAGCCGCCAACTATTTCATCCCTTCTCTCTTTACAAACAAAGTTTCTATAAGGGCATCATCTTTCTCTTTCTGTCAATGTGTGTTTCCTTCAAGCTATTTTCATAGTCTTCCTTCCTTTCAACTTCTTGATACCTAATTTCATATAAAATATATATTAGGCTAATTGTTCTATTAATAATTATTTACTATTTGAGATAAACAATATATTAAATTTGTTTAGATTTCATTTACTTGGTCCTGTTTTATGTTTTCAGATATTTTAACAATAGGCATAAATTATTTTAAGGTTAAACTAAATGCTAAGTTCAAGATTCTAATTTTCTTATAAACTTTAATTAATCTTACTTTGATTGTGGGTTAACTTATTCATATTAAGTTGCAATCATATTATAGTAAATCGAATATATGGATATGTTTGATTATGCATGTTGTGATGAGATATGTATATTAGTTTAAAACAGTTTGTTTAAAATTTACATATAAATGATCATGAAGATCACCCTATTGAAAATCATATTATAATATGTGATATGTTTCATTCATGCAATGTAATATTACTCTAACCTGAAATTTGATGCATCAATTAGACAACTATCATATACTTATATTATTTATGCTAGATGCCTCAATGCCTTGATATTTATACTTTAATATATAGTTGAAAGTTTATTGCTATGTTTGAGTTATCAAATTCACTCATTATTAAATTTTTTAATAGCATAATGTATTAGTATTTGGTGGACCATCATCACAAGAGCATAATTTTAAATAGTAGATTTTTACTTGATATTTTTAATTTTTTGTAGTAGCTCTATATGTACTTTTGTTAAGTTTAAGTATTGTGCTTTTATACTTGGCTTTAATTTGTTTTTCCTTTGTTATTTATGCTTCCATATTGTACTATCATTATGAATCCTTTTGTTGTAACAAAATTGAGTTTTGTATCTTATTTGCTTGTCTTATTATTCATAATCACTTGCATATAAATTTCACTTCAGTGAGCACAAAATAAGTTTCATCAATCTTGACTTTTGAAACTAATTTTAAATGTTAAGATCAATTTCTTCGTCGCATCTCATGTTACCAAGGTGTAACTCTTTCAAAACTTGAGTCTTGGACCATGACATAATGAATCAATAAAAAATCTTGTTCAGTCAAATTCATGGCTCCACTCGTTTCTTTTTTCCACTCAAAGGTGGCCTGATAAAAAACTTGCTTAAAACATTATGGGAGAACTTGTTAACATGCTTGGATGGCGGCTAAGAGACATCTGATCCCATTTATAGGAGATCTTGTTAACATGCTTAGCTCAACTTGGTCTCTAATCTTATTTTTTTCTAATTAGTGAAATAAATGTTTAGAATATTAAAGACAAAGCAAATCAAATCAAAATTAGCGTCAAGACAATTAAAATTACAATTTTTAAAATCAGATCAGATTGATCGGTTAAACTGTGAACCAATCAGTCTGATACTCCGATTCCATCACATAATCTGTCTCACATCATAAAAATGGCCAAAATCTATAGGACGATCGGACCGTGAAACCAAAGAACGGATACCGGTTTTTAAAATCTGCACGATTCACGATAAGGCGTCCAATGGAGATCTGCTACTTGTGAATCAAAACAGAGTTTATAATTGGAGCAATTATTAGGTCCTTTCACTGGATGTAGAGGAAGGTTCGGTTTTAGTCAAAAATAGGTAAAAAGTGCAAATACCGAGTTTTTTGAAAAACTCGGTATTTTTTCAAAAAACTCGGTATTTGCACTTTTTTAGATAAAACCGAACCTTCCTCTAGGTCCTTGCACCGGACCAAATAAAAACTCTTATAATTGAGACCTCAGTGGCAATGATGCTCTCAAGTGGGATTTTTTTAATAATCCAAATTCGGGCAAAAGTTAGGATCCCAGGTGGGGTCCACATTGGTAGTTGCTGGTTTCATGAAACCGGACGCCAACTCTCAAAACCAGCAGCTCTACCTCATCCTGTTTTCTGCTTCCACTCCCTACCAATTCTGAGGCTTTTATAAATCGACTCCTCACTATCCCTTCTTCCCATCGATCACCAAACGAACAACAACAATCTTCTTCTTCAACCGATTATTCCCTCAAACCATCCAAGAGAGAAGCGGCCATGGCTTCAGCGAGCAGAGCTTCTTGGATTGTGGCGGCCAGCATCAGCGCTGTGGAAACGCTGAAGGATCAAGGTGGCCTTTGCAGATGGAACTATACTATGAGATCTCTGCATCAAAAGGCTAAAAAAGAGATGGGTTCTTTTTCACTGGCAAGAAGAACGCCTTCTTCTTCCTCTTCTTCTTCCTTGATGGAAGGAAGCATAGTCAACACCAGAGGAGAGCAAGCTAAGAAAGCAGAGGAGTCCTTTAGAAAAGTTATGTATTTGAGCTGCTGGGGACCAAATTAGATTGTATCTATGAACTCAATTAGTCCAACGATCTTCAAAAGTTTTTTTGTTTTTTGGTGTAGTTTCTGTTATAAGAAATGAAATATGGGACTTCCTCTGCCATATAGAAATATTTTTGGTTAATCTTTACAGAGCAAGTACTAATTTGCAACTCATAACTTAATAGTCTTCTCTGTGTTGTTCGACCTCAATGGAAACCCAGAGGATAATAATAATGATTTTAGTAATTTTTCAATTCAGATTGGCTCTTATAATTAAGATTACTGCGACCATTTCAAGACGAGTTGATATTTATTTTGCCAGTTTTTTTTTTGGGGGGGTATTAGTTAGGAGTTATGGTGGAATTCAAAAGGCTGAATTAGGATTGCTATGTCAAAAGAAAAAAAAAGGCTTGATCAAGCATATCTCAATGCATTTTTTAGTTGGAGATTTTTTAAACTAAATTTATGTTCATACAATTCTGATTTCAGCAAACCTGTAACCGATTTGAGTGTTACCATGAGTCAAATAAAACGACATCAAGGGGATCCAATCAGAGTCCAAATAAATTCTAATCAAACACTTTGTAACACTTTGTATTATAGTTAATATTTTTTACATTAATTATATGATGAAATGATATTTGAAATGAATCGAGCATTCTGGTGAAATGAATTCAATGAGTCCAAGACCTTAATCCTTGAATCAATGAGGGGCTACTTTGGTTGGCTAAAAAAATTTGCTGCGTAAAAATGTAATGTATTTGAATGCTTAGAAATTATTTATATGAGTGTAAAATAAATGAAGGTGATTATTTTTTTATTTGGTTTGAAGTAAAATAAATATAGTGTAAAATTTAAAAATATCGATAGTTGATGGCCACCAATGATGTTGGTGGTTGCCAACAGTAACAGTTGTAATTGGTGGTGGCGGCAGGTGGCAGTGGGGTGGTTGATGGAAGGCTATTGTGGCGGCTAGAAGTGGATGGTTGTGCTGGTGGCAGCGTGTAGTAGTCAGGGTATGGGAGGTGACGATTAGAGGCGGGTGGTGGCAACAATTGGCAATGGTAGCGACATGCAGTGATCAGCAATTGTGGTGGCCGACGACGATCAACAATTGTGGAGTTTGGCGGCGACAATGGCAATAAATTTATGTTGTAGTTGGAAATTGCCCAAATCGAATTAATTTCATATATACTAAATTTACATCAGATGGTAAATACATAAAAAATTTACACTACATTTATTTTACTTCAAACTAAACACTAATATTTTTAAAGCACATGCATTTGGCATATTTTACACCCATTTTACTTCAAATCAAATAGCCCTTAACATAAAATTTGAAAGTTAGGATTAAGAGAATCAATTATCCTATGGAATACTTTACACTTTAGCTATATTTATGAAAAGTATCATTTTTAAAAACTATAAATAGACCTCTTATCTATATTTACTTGAAAATTGCAAAGAGCTCAAGAACTTGAATAATCTCAAAGTTCTACATAGCCCCTCACAAACGATCATCATAGGACTGCCCAACGCCTTTGTATGGTCACTGATGCTCAATCATTGTCATCATCGAACCATTGAAATCAAATCGCCACCACTCGCCCTCCATTATCAGACCAAAACTATTGATCTCCATCATTAAGTTGTCATTGTTTTACCCCCATCATCAACTCTAGCACCCAACTAGTGAAATATGGCCGTCATCATCTGGCCTCCATTATCATAGTATCATTGTCCAGCCTCCATTATAATAGTGTCATCGTCCAACCTCCATTATTATACTATCACCATTTGACCACCACTGTAAGATAGCCACTGCCCAATTTCTATCATCGAATTGCCACTGCTCGATCTCATCATCAGATCTTTATCATACGATCACCGCTACTTGACCTATGTTATTAAATCATCATCGATAAACCATTGTTATTAACTAAAATATATATTTATGTTTTGTATTTAAATTTAAAAAATTGTCTTCTTATTTCAAGTTTCAAAATAGCATTCTTACTTCAAGTTTTAAAATAAAATTCAAATAACATACACAATTTAGAGGTGTCAAAATGAATTTTTTGGTTGAGTTTGGTCCAACCCGAAACTGACCCACGCTCGACTGCCCCAACCTGAACCTGACCCTATTACACAAACAGTACAAAAATTTGAACCCAAACCCGACCTGACAAAAATAAGAGTAGGCAATGCCTAGCGCTATCGAGGGCAAGTGCAAGTGCAGCTAGGTGGTATATATGCACTCACGCTTTATGGGCTGAGCACAGTCAAGCACTTCGGGTTGGAGTGGAACGTGTGTGGCGTGGGAGCGCGGCTAGAGGCAGGATGCGATGCGGGCTGACGCGATCACAAACTCATGCGAACGCAATATGGGCGGGAGCGGGCGGGTCATCCAAGTGGGACATGTGCGGGAGGTGCGAGCGGGTCATTTCCAGGTCAATTTTGGGTTATATAGCGGACTGACCCGGGCACGACTCAATTTTCAAATGGATCGGAAATTAAAACCTGAACCAAACCCGTTTGTTAAAATGGTCAATCCTAAATCAAAATTTTCGGGTTGATTTTGAATCGAATTTTCAAATCTGATAAAAAATTTACGCCCCTACACAATATTGAATTAAAACCTGTCGTATGTTTTAGTTGCTAAATAAAAATCACAGTTTGAAAAAAAAAAATCCTTTATCTTAATTAAAATCGTGAGCGAGAAAGTGGTTCTGCCATATACACAATTCCACTACAGTTCTTTAGTACCTTTAAACTAAACAGGCAATTTGAGATATTTATATTATCGTAGCATTATAGTTTAATCTATCTAATGCTTATTATTTCATAATGATTTGCAATAGTTTGGCCGAACAAGACTCAGTTCAACAATTTTGTCAGAAATAAACTTGGTCCCACAGTAGGACTTCAATCAGACCAACGAGACAAAAATTAGTGGCAAGTGAAATCGGGTCAATTACATATATTTTAGAACAAATAAGCTATCTAGCATAAGGATAAGGATAAGGTTGTGGAACCCACCGCATGCCGCCGGTTTCAGTCCCTGGTAATTGGAACCAGCCGCCAACTATCAAAACCAGCGGCAACTTTTTGCCAATTATTGTTTTCTGTTACCTTTTCCTTCCAAAACTTCAGGCTTTTATAAGTCAAGCCCACCCACTCTCTTCTCCCATCATCCAAAAAAACGAAGCAAGCAAAGAACGACAGCACAGTCATTTTCTTCTCGTACCTCTTTTCCTTCTTAACCATTCGAAGAGAGAACCTGCCATGGCCACAGCAAACAAAGCTTCTTGGATTGTAGCAGCGAGCATCAGCACGGTGGAAACGCTGAAGGATCAAGGCGGCCTTTGCAGATGGAAGCATACTATGAGGTCCCTGCATCAAAAGGCAAAAAACGAGATGGGTTCTTTTTCACAGGCAAGAAGAACGCCTTCTTCTTCTTCTTCCATGATAGGTGGAAGCGAACTAGTAAACACCAGAGCAGAGGAAGCTAAGAGAGCAGAGGAGTCCTTCAGAAAAGTCATGTACTTGAGCTGCTGGGGTCCAAATTAGGATGTATTAGAAAAGGCCATCATGAGTAATTGTAGAAATTCCAACCATCTTCAGTTCACTGGATGGAGGATTTGGTGTTTTTTTACTTGATTAGGATGTACCTATTATGTGAAATAAATATGTAAATGTCATCTAAGCTGAAGTTTGGGACATCAAGTCTCTTTCAAGTTCTCTCATAACACCAAATTTATGTGAGATTTCAGTTGAAAATTTTATTCCACACAGAAAAGCAAGGGTATTTTTCTTTCAGTACCGATGATCGTCACTAGCAATCACTATTATTCTACTCTTGAAGCTCATTTGTTATGATTTGAATGACATCACCTGATTATCATTGTTTGTGATCTATCATTCTTTAACTATCATTATCCGGTCATCATCTATCATCACTGCGTCATTTTCATTATCTGATTGTCATCACCCAATCATCACCCAATTAACACCATATAATACTTCCCTAGTGAGTCCTAGCTACTACAAGTATAACAGGCCAAGCCTAATTTCATTTCTTTATATTCACATCCTCTCCAACTGAGTAGAATAGCGAATATTTGCAATCTTATTTTGATAATGGATGATTTCATTAGAGCTAGACCCGTAATTTTTTTATTCTCAAAATTTTCATCTAGAAATTCTAATATTTTTTATATTCTTCTCTTTTATCTGTGTGTACTTGCTCGTCAAAATGCAAGTCATATATACTAATTTATCATCCATACAATTTGTGTTCTACATCTCTATATCTTATCTACCAAAAGTCATCGACTCTTTAGGCATTGGCTAATCTTTCTTACCATGCCAACATAATAGTTATTGTGCCGAGTCTGTAGAGAAAGACAATCATTGGCTTCCTATTGAGGCATCGACAATTACTTGGACCTTATTAGGGTGATATTGAATCTCCAACTTATTAGCTTTGAAAAGTTATATTCATCTTCTTTGATAGAGGTTTGGTATATTTTGTGTGAATAAGTATTTGAGGCTTTTATGGTTGCGAAGATCTGCTTGAGTGTTATACAACAAGTGGTTTGTAAATAATGCATGTTGCTTTACCCAATGCATAAATTATTTTATTATTATTTTTTGTGGCGTGTGTTGTGGGTGGGGGTGATAATTACATAGCCAAGTTTCATACACTATATAGAAATAATTACAACAACAACAAAAAAATACAACTCAATTGATGAGAGGAAAAGGCTAGAGGAGAAAAGGCATGAGCCCAAAAAGTCTCAAGATCTCCAAAAACTAGAATGAGCAATTGAAAAACATTGAGGGCAGAGGCAATAGCTCAAAAATAGACTGATCATGCCTCAATATATGATATGAGACAAATGATCACCAAATTATTTTATTTTTAATTCTCAATTATTTGCGGATTTTTATGTAATAATCACAAGCACTACAGGAAAACCCCTTATTACCGGCGGACAAAATCCGCCGGCAATATTATAAATCCGACGAAAAATATAGTTTCCGACGCATGTTTCGGCGTATATTTGTCCGCCGTTTTAAGTCGCGTCGATAATTTCGTTCCGGCGCATGATTTGCACCGGAAATTTCTCCGGCGCAGTTTCCGACGAATTACCGTCGAAAAAACGGATTGTTGTCGACGTTAAAAAACGTCTTAATTCCGACGCCATATGCGTCGGTAATTAGCGTCGCATTATGCGCCGGACATTACCGGCGAATAAAACGCTGCAAAGTGTGACGTAGAAACCCCACGATTTTTCTTGCGACGCGAAGTATACGCCGGTAAATACCGGCGCATATGGCGCCGGAACATGCGCCGATAAGTTCCGTAGAACAAAGACGTCGGTACGTACGATACAATTCGTTGTATCGTCTTTTCCGGCGAAATTCTGGCGCAAAATCCGTCGGAAACCTGTAGCATTGACAAAAAAAATTTTCCTTCCCAGCCAACAATCAAATTTCCACACCTGCAAACCTATACAAATATCAATTCTACAACATTTCAATTGTAACATTACAACAGATCAACAATTTCACCACAGTTTCACAACAGTTTATAACATTAAAAGAAACAGTTCAGTACTAACAATAGGGGTGTCAATTATTGACACGACCCGACAACCCGACCCGAACCCGACCTGAAAAATCTGGGTTAGGGTCGACCCGTTTAACAAAAGGGTCGGGTTCGGGTTTCGATTTCCAACCCGTTTAACAAACGGGTCGGGTCCGGGTCAACCCGGTAACCCGAAGCTGACCCGGCTGCCAACCCGCCTAGCCTTTCTGCATCAGTCTCGCCGTTTTGCACCGGTCTTGCAGGTTCCTCTCGTCGAACCGCGGAGCCAGAAACAACGCGTCGGGCGTCCGCGTCGTGCGCCCGCGCCAGAAACAATGCGTCGTGCGTCGGACTCGGAGTCTCGGAGGGCTTGCACCGGACTCCGGTCTGGACTCTGGCGGTCCAGCGCACAGCAGCTCGCGCAGGCAAGCCACGTCGAACAGCGGAGCCGCAGTGCCGCACCGGACACCGGTCTCGCTCACAGCAGCCGCAGGCCCGGTTCCGCTCATCCGCTGCTCTCGGCCTCGCTCGAACGACCTGAATCGCGATCTCCGAAATCAAAATCTCCTTGGCAGGTCGAGTCGGGTCAACCCGGTGACCCGACGGGTCGGGTCCGGGTTGACAAACCTGACCCGTTTGCAAAAACGGGTTGGTTAGTGTCAACCCATTTACGACCGGGTCAACTCGGGTTCGACCCGAACCTGACCCGTTGACCCGAATTGACACCCCTAACTAACAATCAACTAAAAACATCACATTAAAAGAAACTGTTCAATAAAACATGTTCACAGAAATAAACAAGTTCATATAAACTAAATTAAACTACTCTGACTCCGTGGACTCCTCCTCAGGTGGAGCTACGTCTTTTCCACTCAGCTGCTCCCTCATCTTGCGCATTTCATCCAACAACTGATTGTGTTGCTGAATACTTGTTTGAACATGTGCTTGCAGCTGAGCTTGAACCTGTGCTTGCAGCTGAGCTTGAACCTGTGCTTGCAGCTGAGCTTGCCAATCAGCTTGTGATTTCCTTACTTGTTCTAGCTCAGCTTGAAGGGCACTTATTTGTTGAGCTTGTAAGGACTCATGCGAA